GGCCCGAGGAGGTCGAGGAGTGTCTTACCGGCGAAGTGGACGGTATCTACGACGGTCCGCCTATTTTCGATGAAGAGCCTTTGGGGCCCGAGGTGACGCTTTCTGATTTTGTCTTGTTAAGCCACTGGAGAAATATATGTTACTAGAAGTTGCTGACTTTATTGCTCCATACTCTAAAAATGAGCACCACGGGCATTTGGGCGCAGAAACTACGCTACAACAGTGGACACGCAATCATCGTTCATTGGCATGTCGCAAGATAATAAATTGGAGACCATGTTTGAAGTTCGAAGAACAAAAAATGTCTTATGAGGCTAAAGATCTGATCCTCCATTTGTTATGTGAAGTTGAGCGATGTTCAACCTTCGTGTTCGACCGGGGAAAATGACGGGATTTGCTACCATGAGTTCGACACCACATGCCGGCCATGGGAGCGCATCGGCTTCGAGGGCGAAGCCTTCCGAACCGAGGGAGAATGGTGTAGAATAGTATTATTATTATTATTATTATTATTATTATTATTATTATTATTATTATTATTATTATTATTATTATTATAGGTATCTTAGAGAATAAGTTAGAAATCTAATATTATTATAAGAGATCTTGTCTTGTTGGACAAGTTAGGAATAGGATTATGAGCCTTATTTAAAGGACTTCTCATCTATTGTTTTATTCGGTTGATTTTGAATATGAAATAAGATATTGAAAGTTTTGCGTTTTTACGAGAGAGTATCTCGTTTACTCGTTTATCCTTCCCATTCGTACGCTTTTCCCTACATCATGAATGCTATATATCAACAACATAATTTTTTGGAAGATACTGTTGCGGAATCATTCCGTCGTGGTTTGCATTACTTTCGTCATGAATAGTTGATCTAACGGTTACAAATCTCGACGGAATGATTCCATAACAGAACTTTAGAATTTCTTGAATTTTTCTAAAGAAATGGAGAAGTACATGAAAAAGGTAATTAGTGGCCAGTGTCATAAATGTGTTTGAAGTTTATACATTTCTTTGATAATGTTCGTAATTAGTGATCAATAATTATTTTGGTGTTTGCAAACTGTATTGCCTTACTAGATTTGAAATTAATTGTGTGTGATTGTTACTCCCTCCTATTCATAATAAATGTTGTTTTGAGAAGTTGCACAGTTATTAAGAATATTTTTTTGCCAATAATAACCTTCATTAATGAGGATAGAGATAAATGTTTTGAGAAAAGATGAAGAGTGGATATGAATAGACGTACTGTATTTATTAGCTAAATGAGGGTAATAATGGAAAAATATGTACAAAATATCCAAAACAACATTTATTTTGTTAATAGTTGATAATGTCAAAATGACATTTAAAAAAAATAGGAGGTAGTATAATTTAGAGCCATAATTTTCAGTTATATTAAGTTATATGTAAAATTTTAAACTAAAATTTCAACAAATAATGTAAATAAAAGCATGATAATTATAATATAAGTATGTAATCTTATTATAAAAGTACAACATAAAAATTTGGGATTATTTTCATACCAAGTTCTAATTATTTTTCATTTTTTTTTTTTCATCTGGGAAGAAAGTGTTGATCTATTTATAGTGTACCCATAATATTCATTCAACTTGATTTGTTAATTCTTTTTTAATATTTGGTTACATCGTTACTATGTTATGCTAGTTACAAGATAGAATAACGTTAAAAGATAGAATAACGCTAAGAAAAGTATCAACAAATATAAAATATTTTTTTTAAAAAAAATTGTAGGTCAAATATTATTAATTATATAATTTAAGTAAAGCTTAATTATTATTATTATAATTATTGTTATTGTTGTTGTTGTTATTAATTTATTTTATTAAGTAATTTAAATTACTCAAATTATATAGGATTAAAATTGTCATGAATATATGAACATGACACACATATCATGTTGTAATTCGATTCTTTCATTCAGTACGATATGGGGTGGTTCATTTCATTCTTTGATTCAGTACGATTTGTGAAATCTCTAAAACCGTATCAATTATTTTTTTCGTTTGAGTTCGATTATGTTCGGAAAAAAATCAAATGGCCAATGGTTGTTTTCTGTTCAAAGTATTTTTGAAACATAATCGAGTCTCATATTCAACCCTACTTAACCACTCTGTACTAACTTCATTTCTGTTAAACCGGGGGCAAAACGAGTGCGGTCCCAAACAGTTGAAGCGCACCATATGAGGGTTAGCCCAAATGAAGCCCAAGTGAAGTTTCATCCCAAAACCAGTTGGTGATGGGAGGAGTAGCCAACTAGGCTTATAAACTAGGCTCATTTATCCTATCAAATCAATGTGGGACAACTCACAAGTGATATTCCAACACGTCCTCTCACTTGTGAGTCCTTCATCAGCCCACGCCTCCAATTTGGCCGAGTACATTTTTTTTCAGCCCACACCTACAACCAGGTCGGGTAC